GGGGAAGCTTGGGAGTGACTGCTTCTGTTGGTCTGTCCTGGCTTGGCTTGTTGGGATGGAGGAGGGAGAAAGGCCAGGGAGACAGAGGCAGCCATGCCCTGGCCTCCCTGCTGCAGGCCAGTGCCCAGCGCTCTGTCTGGATGAAGGAGGCCCCTCCCCTGCCGCCCCTGCTCTGCTTCTGATTTTACAATCACAGCTGGGATGCTGCTTGTCTGGGGTCACCTCGTGCTGGTTGACAGGGAATGTGCTGGAGTCCGATGGTCTGAGTCCCTGCTCTGCCCAACACAGAGGAAGCAGGGGTGGTGGGCAGCTGTTTTGGCTTTTTTCAGTCATCCTGTCCTTGCCTATAAAATTAGGGTAAGAATCATTCCTCCAACTCTTAGAGGAAGAACACACAGGCATAATGCCGCTGTGCATTGTGTGTTGTCATATAATATCTATTGAAATGAAATCCAGGAAATGGAAACAAGAGGTTTTAATTTCTCTGTTCTTTTTGTCTTGTTTGTTCTTCTGTCTTTGGGAGGGTAAGAGAGACACTGAAATGGAGGGACAAAGTGTGAACAAATGCAGCTGTGGTACTCAGTAGATACTATGTTGAAAATAAACTATACACCTTGTGGGCAAGGAGGGAGGGAAAAACTGGGAGAGAGCAAGGGAAGGGGTAACATTGTCCAAAAAGAAATGAACTCATTTTGTGACTTATAAAACACTAATCCTTCTGTGCATCACCTTTATAATAACAATTAAAAATGTTTAATAAAATAGAATGCAGTTATACCTCCAATGACCCTTTTTCTGATGACCCTTTTTTGATCCAAACCTTTATCCAAATCTATGCCCACCTCAAACCATTAATAAAAATGTCACATGTTCACAAAACATGAGTACAATGAGCTCAGTTCCATCACCAAGCTTTGAGAATATTGTCAGGTTTCATGTTTGACAATTCAGGCAATTCAGGATTCTTGTTTCTGACAACCCAGTTCTCCTGGATTCTTTCGAAGTCAATAACAGGTTTCATATCATTTTATCCGCAAATATTTAAAAATGTATATTAAAACTAAGAATTTTATTCACCGTTGTCATCATACCAAAAATAAGTCTGTCTTGTTACCAAATGTCCTGCAATCTGTGTTCACAAGGCATTTACAATTTTTATTATTCATTTGTAATGAGTCCAGCAAGGCAATCCCACATTATTCTCTGCATTGTCTGCCCCAAATGTCAAGTTAGGCATTTCCCTAGAAATCCTTGCAGGTTTTCCTTTCAGAGGGGCATGGTAGGGAAGCCTAGGACTGCTGCTTTTGTGCCTCTGTTTCTTATCTTGTTACTGTGTGTGTGTGTGTGTGTGTGCACACATACCTGCGTGTGTTCTACATAAATGTCCATGCCTGTATTCCCAGTACATAGCACATATGTTATAATTCAATGATAGGGATACCAGTATTATCATCAGTTTTGTGACTATGAAAAGTTTTAGAGCATTTCTTTTTTCTTTTGGATTTTTGGGCTCTATTCTTCTGGTTGTTGTCAATGAATTTAATATATTGAAGAACATGGTTAGGTTTACTTGTTTCACAGAATCTTTGATTTTTAGGAATTAATTTTCAAAATAGATTTGTTTTTTCAAAAGCTTTATTTAATATTTGCATTATTCCAAAATTCCGTCTACCTAAATAGTTGAAAGATGTCCACCTTCTTTCTTTGCCACGCTACTTTTTCCCTCCCAACCAGTATTCATTTCTTTCTTTACTTTCTCCCTCCACCCTTATCTTTCTCTTTACATATATCTCTAATATATTTATATATAGTACATAACTATAATGAGGATGTGTACACATGTGTGCTTGCACCCCTTCGGGTGAGGGGTCTCCCACTCTATGTTCTTTTATTAACCTCCTAGTTTTTGAAATTTTTAATTTTATTGTAAAGATGCTGTACAGAGGGGTTTCAGTTACATGAGTAAGGTGATGAGTTCATTTCTTGTCAAAGATTGTTACCCCCTCCTTTGCTTTTCTCTTACAATCCTTTACCTCCCCCTTAACCTCATAGTTTTGATGTTTGTTGGAACCTGAGTAGTGACACATCTCCATGCATTTCACAGCTGCAGGATATATTAACTCATATTTTCTGAAATAGTCTCTCTGTACTTGGTGGCTAGGATTATATTGTAATTTTCTTTGAGCCTCTCCTTCAGTCCAGTTTTCTAAAAGAAATCCCACTTTGTCACGTCCAATCCTGTTTTCCTAACATTTCATTAAGATTTGGTGTTGAACTCAACTCTAATTTTCCCATCTGATGCAGGCGCTGTGAATGCTGGGTTTCAGAGTTACCTCTGCCTCATAGAAAGAGCTTGGACGTTTTCCTCTTTTTCCTGTGTCTGGGATGTAGAGCATGACAGAATTCTCTGATCACTAAAGCTCGATAGGATTTTTCTGAGGAATGGTGAGAAACCACGAGAGCTCGCCATCCACTCTGCGGTCTCGCTCTGTCCTCAGTCTGTCACTCCCCAGGTCTGCAGGGCTCGGCACTGAAGTGTGCATTCATGCGTGCCACATATACCTGATAGTGGAGAGTTCACAATGCCAACGCCTGTTGACTTTTAGCCTCTGCAGTGCAAGGTTATCTGCTCGAGTTTTGAGATGAGTGACCACCAAACTACTTTGAACCCATTGCCAAGACCATCACCCCTCTTCTATAGTTTCTGAATGGTAGAGCATTTCCACAATGGGGACAGCCATTTTGTATTCCTTTTCTGTCTATAGCTTGCGAACACAAAGCTCCTGTCTACATCACACATACAAATTTAAAGAGCTTCCTTCTCCCAGTAAGTGATGTCTTCTGTCCACGTGGAGCATTCCTGTAGTGGGCTGGCTGTGTACATTCACCTCGGATACAGTCCTGCAATGAATGGTGTCAGCCTTCTACACAGATCCAGACTCTCAGGGCATTCTGATGAAGATGCTCTCGTGGGATAGGAAGCTCATTGCTTAGGACAGAATACGTCAGATATGATATCTGAAAAACAAAGTAGAATCTGTTCTGGAAAATAGATCTCACACAAAAGGAAAGCATAGGAAATACCAGATTTTAAATGGTAAATGGTACTTTTGTCATAGAAAATTAAGTAAGAATGTGGTAGAAAGCAGAAAAATTGGGGAAGATACAGGGCAGGGGATGGAAGTGAGAAAACTTCACTGGGTGGATGATTTGGTTGATTCAGAAGGGAAAGAAGCAAAGGACAGAAGGGCCAGGAGGGCTGGTTTCTGGTGATGTCTAAGCCACGTTCTTTCTACGTTTAAAGTACAGTCCAAGTGCCTGGGCTCCTGAGGCTGAATTCCAGTGGCAAGCATGGCCAAGTCTGAGGATCACTCTTTGCGGATCGTTCTGGTCGGGAAAACTGGAAATGGGAAAAGCGCCACAGCCAACACCATTCTTGGGGAACAAATCTTTGATTCTAGAACCGCTGCCCATACTGTCACTGAGACCTGCCAGCGGGCATCCAGAACCTGGAAGGAGAGGGACCTCGTGGTGGTGGACACCCCGGGGCTCTTTGACAGCAAGGAGAATCTGCAGAACAACATCGTGGAATTCAGCCGATGTGTCCTCTATTCCTGCCCAGGGCCTCACGCCATCATCCTGGTTCTGAGGCTGGGCCGATACACAGAGGAAGAGCAGGAAACTGTTGCTTTGATCAAGGCTGTCTTTGGGGAGGCCGTCATGAAGCATTTGATTGTTTTGTTCACGTGCAAAGACTATCTTGAGGGCTGCAGCCTTGATCACTTCCTAAAAAGATCGGATGCAAACCTACAAAGCATCATTCAGGAGTGTGGGGGCCGCTATTGTGCCTTCAGCAACAGAGCAGAGAAGGCTGAGAAGGAAGAGCAGGTGCAGGAGCTGGTGGGGCTGATAGAGAGCATGCTGCAGCTCAGGGGAGGGGCTCACTTTTCTGATGCCATCTACATGGATGCAGAGCAAAGCCTGCAAGAAAAGGCAGAGCTCTTGAGGAAGCATTACACAGAGGAGTTAGAAAAGGAGCTCGGAGCAGCCAGGGAGACATACACTCAGATGTGCAAGAAGAGTATGCAGGAAAAGGAAGCCAAAATACAATCAATTAAGGAGAAGTACGAGGCAAAAATAAGAAACATCAGGGCAGAGGCAGAGACAAATATATTTACCCAGATTTGTGAGATAATTAAGAGAATGCTTTTCAAAATACGCCATTTTTTCAGGAGATAATGTGTATATCCGCTTTATTCTGTCTGCACTTACCACGAGCCTTCTTTCACATCACCCCCTCTCTTCCCCGTGGCAGCCCTTCTGCAAGCAATGTGAGCAGGAACAGAATTAAGAAATCGCCAGATTGTCCTGTGCTGGCCTCAGAACCCATGGTGAGCTCTCCCAGTCTGACTTGTGTACTCTGCACTCAGCACCTAGAGAGGACAGCAGAGGCAACACCCTGCCTTTTTGAATCAAGTGCCTACCCCTGTTCTGAATTCCGTCCTTTCCAAGAATCCCAACAGGGACCTGGTAGGAATGTATTTTTCTAAAATGCCCTGATCTATGATTAGACGGATATGGTGGACACATAAAGAAGTAGTAATCCTAAGACATACATGCTGATGTCTGAGAGCCATGAACTTGCAAAGCAATGCCTGGGGTTTAGTTGGGCTTTTATTGTGAGTGAGCGAAAGTGTCACAATGAGTGTCTCCACCAGTGGGGACTGTAAGTGACAGCAATAACTTGACCAGAAGCTTGTTAAAATAAAGTAATCGTGTGCTGAATATGGATGCAGAGTCTCTGTTATTGTTTTATAAAACATGGTTTGGACGGGACCACGTTTGTAGAAATATCCCAAGAATGATTATATGGGGTGTATGTATCTATATCGATACTGATATCAATATGGATTTAATTTTAGACATATTAAAAGCTCTTGGTACCAATGGAGATAATAATGCCACAATATTCTGTGATGCCTATAATAATTGTATTCATGATGAGAATGAAAATGATCTCTTCTCAAATGGAATCTAGATTTCCCCTAACTAGTTGTAAATTTCAGTGAGCAGTTGGTCTAAGTTAGAGGTTACAATAAAGGTCATTTGTGGGAATAAGTATCAAAGAGAACAAGGAGTGCTGTCTGCATCCCAATAAGATAAGAACTTGTTAGAAAACTTAGGATCCATCTAAACTTAGTGACAGAAACACTGGGATAGAGTTCAGCAACCCATTTCTTTTTCTTTTCTTTTTTGCTGTTGTTGATTGGTTGTTATTAAGAAACCCTCCTGTGAGTCTGATGGATATGCCATCTTGAAAACAACTGGCTAAAGTAATGTCCATTGGTCTTTCCCCTGTGATTGAGCTGATGGACAGGAAGATCTGAGGAGGGATAGAAAAATCACACTTCAAATTTCACAAGTGTCACGTAGAAGCAGTCACTGTAACACTCTCTCTTAAGACAGACTTTGAAAAAACAAAAGATGCAATGAAGAAGGGCTTTGGACAATCAGGAAACAGTCTGTGTGAGTTTTCATTGCTGTGCAACTACTGGAGATAATCAACTTACATGGAGGAAAGGTTTGTTTTGGTTCCCAGCTTGAGAGGCCTTGCTCTCGGATGGCCTGACTCTGGCTTTGGGCCCGTGGCAGGCAGCGCAGTGCATCGTGATGGAAGCATGTGGTGAGGGAGGTCTGGTGAGCTCATGGTGGCCAGGAAGCAAAGAGGAAAACAGGAAGAGGCAAGAGTTCTAGCATCCCTGTCAAGGGCATGCCCCCAGTAACCTACCATCCGTCCACCAGCCCCCATATTCTAAAGGTTCTACCAATTCCCAGTAATGTCACCGATAAGAACCAAGCCATCTGCACAAAGGGTTTTGGGAGACGCTTACCCAAATGTCCCAGGTAGGAAGCAAAGAGCTTGAAAGCTGAGTTCCATCAGAAATAAACCTTCCCCTTTGAATTTCTTTTTCATGGAGACTGGGATGAATCTGCAAATTGCTTTGGGTACTGTGGACATTTTAACAATACTAATTCTGCCAATCCATGAACATGGGAGGTCTTTCTTGCATGTATGTGTGTGTATACAACTTTTTTTTCAGTGTTGTGTAATGTTCATTATAAAGATCTTTCACTTTCTTAAATTTATTGCTAGCTGTGTTCTGTAGCTCTGGGGAATGGACTTGCTTTCGTTTTAATGGATGGTCCCCAAACCCTGGATCTTGACTAGATGATACGGCCAAGCCCAAGATCTGTAGTGTTATGATTGCATTCTGCATTTCTTTTATAAGATGCTTCCTATCTAAAATAAATAAGCTTTAGAGCACACTAGAGCAGCTTATAGCAGGCACCCAGCATTTCAATACTTGCCTATCTAGCTTGTTGTCTCTCTGCCTGACAACTATTCTGGCAGGAACCATTTACCCATGATAGTCTTGACACCCAAAGACTAGTGGGTAGCTAGTTCATGCCTTACCAGAGAGGAAGCTTAGCAGCTGGAGATCACACAGACAAGACGGTTCTCACACACCTCTGAGGACAACGCTTGCTGCTGCAGCAGTCAGGGGTTTGTGGTTTTGATCCACACATTGAACTAGGCAGTTATTTTTCACACTTCATAAAAACATGCCCAAAGCAACTTCCTCTCAAGACACAGTTCAACTCAAGCAGCATAAAAAGCAATAATGAAAGGGTCTTCAAGTTTACAGTGTGATGGAGAGGAAATAAATAGGGGTTGCTGATAAGGCCTTAGCAGAAACAGCAGAAAATGGAGAAAGCCCAGAGCCTCACCTACGAGCTCCCACCCACGGTTCTTCTCCAGCTCATGTTGACTACAAGTGCTTGTTTGCAACCACTAAAAGAATAGGAAGGGACTTGTACGGGGCTGTAATTAAAACAAACAAACAAACAGAAGGCCTGGGATGGTGGCTCATTGGTAGAGTGCTTGCCTTGCATGCATGAGGCCCTGGGTTCGATTCCTCAGCACCACATAATCAGAAAAAGCCAGAAGTGGCGCGGTGGCTCAAGTGATAGAGTGCTAGCCATGAGCTGAAGAGCTGAAGGACAGTGCCCAGGCCCAAGAGTTCAAGCCTCCCCCCAAAAGAGAAGTCTGCTTGTGTGACAGCACAGTGAAGGAGAAGGCTTTATAATCTGTACCTTCCTTAGCCCACAATTACACAACACTGAGCACGATATACCCAAGCTCAACCCTGGAACAATAGTCCAGTCTAGAAAAGTATTTACCCCAGCTTTCTTTCTCCATGTTGATAACTGTATTTCCAGCCTTATTTCTAGACACTCTGACTTGCAACCTGTAGAATCTAACCCTTCTTAGCTTCTTTAGCTACTGAGAATTCCTGGCTGTCACTCGCCTTCTAATTCTTATATGTTTGGGGCTGGGAAGGTGGCTCAGTGCTAGAGTGCTTGCCTTGTATGCATGAGGCCCTGGGTTCAATTCCTCAGCACCACATAAGCAAAAAGAAAAAAAGCTGGAAGTGGCGCTGTGGCTCAAGTGGTAGAGTGCTAGCCTTGAGCTGAAGAGCTGAGTGACAGTGCCCAGGCCCAGAGTTCAGGCCACACGACCAGACCCAAAACAAAGAAAAAACAATTCTTATATGTTTGTGTTAGTCCTAAGGCTTGAACTTAGGGCCTGAACACTGTCCCTGGACTTTTTTTTTTTTTTTTGCTCTAGGTTACCTAGCCTCTGCTTCCAGCTTTTTGGTAGTTAATTGGAAATAAGAGTCTCAAGACTTTCTTGCCTGGGCTGGCTTTAAACCACATCTTCAGATCTCCACTTCCTTGGTAGCTAAGATTACAGGCAGGAACCACCCAGCTTGTCACTTGCCGTAGAATCTACAGTATTTCCATCCTGTAAATACTTCTATACCTTTCTGTAACTTCAACTGGCCCTTGAATTTCAGCTCAATTTTATTTCTTCTAAGAAGTCTTTCAGGATACTGCCTACCATCCTGCCATTTTTAGCAGATCCCTCATACACTGCCAGAACAGATGACATTCTCCTCAATTACACTCAGCCTGCTAAAGGCTTTTCAGTGTCATGCTTGCTGGAGGAAGGAGATGTGTTTCCTGAGTGACTAATACAACTACATTCAGAGTTACGCAGGAGTCTGACTCAAAGTTTTAAGACAAATGAGAAATGCAAAGTTGAGGTAAGGGTGCCAAGGTTTTCTTCTGCTTTTGGTTAACATGTGAGCCAAAATGAGGAGTCAGTGCTTTTTAGCAAAAGCAATTTCTAAGTACCTGTTATGTGATGAGACTTTACTTCTGGATTTTTCTGACCAACTGAACCTAGAAATGACTACACGAATGTCCAAGCATGGGTTAGCTCTTGAGAGTAGTTACCATTTTCTTTAAGTCCAGGGACTCTCTGGGCCTATTTTATAGGGGTGAAAAATAGCTGACGATCAGTAGTAACCCATTCTAGAAATAAAGTCAGCCTCTGGGGCCTGCGGAGCTCTTCCTCTTCCTCTGAGTATGGCCAGATATGTGATACCAGGGACCCTGATTGAGATACACACAGCACCCGGTGGAGTCCCGGCAGGAGGCTGGTTTTGGTGGTGATACACTGCAAGCCCACAGTGCTTCTGTCTCTTTAAATTGTTAGTGCCCAACCCTCCCTGAGCTTCCTGAGCTCTGAGTTCTGAGCAACTCAGTGACTTCCTTTGCTGGAAGGGAAATGTTTTGAACTCACAACTAAAGGGAAAGCGGAAAGTCAGGGCTTCCCAGAGCCGCTTCAGAGCCTGTCACCAGGAAAGGTGAGCCTGAGCCTTCGAGGAGGGAGGGGGCGGGGCGTGAGGGCCCAAAGGGTCCCTAGAGAGTGCTTACTCCTGTATCCTGTGTATTCAGCGAAGTCCCAGGCTGGCTATCCCAAGGACCCGGAGCAGCCCTGGTCATGCGGCCACGTGTGTGAGGCCAGGGTCACGGGGCCAGGTGTATGAGGCCCTGGTCACGGGGCCAGGTGTATGAGGCCCTGGTCATGGGGCCAGGTGTGTGAGGCCCCGGTCATGCGGCCAGGTGTGTGAGGCCCCGGTCATGCGGCCAGGTGTGTGAGGCCAGGGTCACGGGGCCAGGTGTATGAGGCCCTGGTCATGGGGCCAGGTGTGTGAGGCCCTGGTCATGGGGCCAGGTGTGTGAGGCCCTGGTCATGCGGCCAGGTGTGTGAGGCCAGGGTCACGGGGCCAGGTGTATGAGGCCCTGGTCATGGGGCCAGGTGTTTGAGGCCCTGGTCATGGGGCCAGGTGTGTGAGGCCCTGGTCACGGGGCCAGGTGTATGAGGCCCTGGTCATGGGGCCAGGTGTGTGAGGCCCCGGTCATGCGGCCAGGTGTGTGAGGCCCTGGTCATGCGGCCAGGTGTGTGAGGTCCCGGTCATGGGCCAGGTGTGTGAGGCCCTAGTCATACGGCCAGGTATGTGAGGCCCTGGTCATGCGGCCAGGTGTGTGAGGCCCCGGTCATGCGGCCAGGTGTGTGAGGCCCCGTTCATGGGGCCAGGTGTGTGAGGCCGTTCCGAGCGTCAAAGCCAGAAAGTGCCGAGGAAGTTTCCGGAGGCCTTTCCTGAGCACACACATTCTGGTTAGGGAATAAAACCTGTATTGCCCCACACTTTCTTATACCATGAGAGAAAGTGTGTGCTAGATCTACTTCCAGGGCAAAATGCAGATGGAAAGAAATCAATCATTCCTCAAATCACATATTGAGCAAAA